TCTTCTTAAACCCCGTTCATCATTTGTCCTTTCATCAATCCTCACTATACTCGGTGTTTTCTTTCATTCTCGCTCCCTGTAACTCCTGTGTACGTGTAGCATTCCCGCCTTGTTTGGGATGAAATGATTTCTCGAAAATAATACGCAGCTATAAATAATACGCACCCAACAAATGATCCAAACATTAAGAAATATATCTATCTCTATGTATAATACGCATCTATAAATTTTGTCAAAACAAACATAATTACGAATCATTTTGTCAACCTTGACATTAAGAATAAAATCGAAACTATGATTCTAAAATAATGTTAAAAATTACCATGTGGTTTTACCAATACATATAGCAATTTATTTTACCGCCAAAATGTCGTCCAAACGTGTGAGTTATAGTGCAAATTTTAAATAAAAAGTAAGAGAATTATCAGAAAGATGAGGAAACAGAGCTGCAGTTTGAGAATATGAGTTGAATGAATCTAACGTACGTTTATAGAGAAAGAATAAAAATGAACTAAAATAAAGTGTAAATGAAGTACCAAATCTATAAGTAGAGGAAGAAAAGCTTTATATCCAGATATGAAACAATGTTTAGTTGAATTTGTGAAAGAAAGACGATCAAGTGAATCTTCCATAAGTGCTGTGGAAATAAGGATGAAGGCAAAAGAACTTAAAAAAAACTATGTATCCTGGAAACACATTTAAAGCTTCAGAAAACTGGTGTTTTCTTTTTATGAAGAGGTTTGATATATATTTTAGAAGAACATCCATAGCCCAGCGTTTGACTGATGACTACAAAGATAGATTAAAACGAAAATTGGAATATTTTGCTTATTTTAGAACAAGTACGTATAATACATATATATTATACGTACCCCAACAAATAATTCAAAAATTAGGAAATATATCGATCCCTGTCTATAATACGCATCTATAATTTTTTTTTTCAAAAATAAAATAAAAAAATAACTAAGGCATTTTGTCGACCGTGACTTTAAGAATAAAATCAAAAACTAAACAGCTAAAATAATGTTACAAATTACCATGCGGTTTTTCCCGATAAATAAAACATTTTATTTTACCGCCAAAATGTCGTCCAAACGTGTGAGTTATAGTTACAAATTTGAAATAAAAAGTCATAGAATTAGCAGAAAGAATAGGAAAGAGAGCTGCAGTTTGAGAATATGAGTTGAATGAGGCTAATATACGTTTATGGAGAAAGAATAAAAATGAACTAAAAGTGTAAATCAAGTGCCAAATCTATAAGTAGAGGAAGAAAAGCTTAATATCTTGATATGGAACAAAGTTTAGTCGAATTTGTAAAAGAAAGACGATCAATGAATCCATAAGTTCCATGGAAATAAGGATGAAGGCAAAAAGAACTTATGAAAACCATGTATCCTTGAACACACATTTAAAGCTTCAGCAAATTGGTGCTTTCTTTTTATGAAGGGTTTTGATATATATCTATGAGGAGAAGAGGATCCATAGCACAGTGTTTCTTGATGACTACAAAGATAAGCTTTTGAATATTCAGTATTTTGTTATTCAGCTAAGAAAAATAGCACAGCTATCCTTTAGATTGTATTGGAAATGCTGACCAAACATCCTTGACTTTTGATGTGCCTTGTTTTCAAATTCTGGAATTCAAAAAGGTGAAGTCTGTTGGATTTAAAATGAAAATTAGTATAATATCTTTCTTATTTTAGAACAGCAAGTACGTATTTATTATTATCAATCAATAACGAAAAGATATTTTTGTTTAAAACTTTTTATAATACTATCACCTGAAATTTACAGTAAATAAAATGCTTATTATTTTAGAGACATTATGGTAATATATATATATATATATATATATATATATATATATATATATATATATATATGTGTGTGTGTGTGTGTGTGTGTGTGGGTGTGGGTGTGTATATATATATATATATATATATAGAGAGAGAGAGAGAGAGAGAGAGAGAGAGAGAGAGAGGAGGGAGAGAGAGAGAGATAGATATGATCCGAAAAGCGTGAGATAGTGTTATGGTCCGGTTCCTTGTACTACGGTGATAGTCCAAGGTAGAACCAATAAAGAAGAACTCGAACACGTATATGGAATAACACGGATATATTACAAACAGGAATATATACAGAGAAGAAGAAAGTGTTAACACGAACAATCAGGTTTAGTAGTAATTGTCTGAACGCGACTCTGTTTCGGACTGCCTCTGACTCGACTGACTGACTCGCTCGCACTAACTGACTGACAGACAGACTTCTGACGGACCTCACTTCAGACTGTACTCTCTGCTTCCTCTTGAGGTGCAGTATTTATTACGTATGGAATAGTCCATTATGATATTATGGGTAAGGTCCCATAACAGATAGATAGGTAGGTAGATAGATAGATAGGTATGATACGAAAATAATGAGATTGATAGATTAGATATGATATGAAAAAATGAGATAGATAGATAGATAGATAGCTTTCCTAATCGCCGATCGAACCTCGAACTACCAATAGTCCCAGTCATCATATGACTCCTCGGGGAATCAGCGTGCCTTGAAATATTTTTGGGCATCAATCTCGCCCCTGAACGCAAGTGGACCTCGTGCATGCGATCTATTTTTTAGGATGCAGGTGAAATGGTCGCCCCCACCCTACAACCGCCCCAGTATGTACCTGACTGATCCTGCTATTCTTTACAAGTGATGTTGTCATATTTGGGCGGAGATTATTCTCCAGCGTCCAACATATTTCTCACAGGGTGCATGGTTCAAGCCTCTTGTTGCTCTGTCACTATTTCCATTTAAAATTTTTCAAGTTGTAGAAAAATATGAAATGTTTACATTATTCGAAAGAGAAATAAATTCTACATAAAGCGTACACAATAAAACTAATTGATATTGTTTTATTACAAACATATTTTGAAATGAATAAAACTTTAACTATCGGTCTTAAACTTATTTTTGCCAGTATAGGTGCTGACCAATCTTAAAGTTGCTTGACTTATTTGTGTTTCAACGTGACATGGTCATAGGACGTCGTCATCTGTCAGGACATTGCTCAGTATACTCTGGTTGATTGATATTATATAACAGCTCAACATTCATTTATTTTTCTCTTACAATATTTTCTATTCCTTACTACTTTCCTGGATTTTTTGGAGACATCGTTTGCTATTCAAGTGTGACTTCTGGTTTTGGTACCACATCTTTGTTAAAACACTTTCCAGACACTTAATCATCTGTATTTGCTTGATTTTATTTCCTTACAATTTTACATCTTCATTTTTTTCTTTTAAATACCAGTACATTCTGTTTTCTTACGCTTGGCGGTTAGTCCTTTCTTCCGGCTTTCGTTAGTAAAATCTCAAATAGCATCATGTTTGGGATTAACAATAGATTAAATAAAAAAAAAACATCTGGAGACTTTAGTGTAAGACATGCCTCCCCCCTCATATTGTAAATGTGGCGCTGAATATGATGTCTAAGCTGGGATGGGAAAATTCTCCAACAAGCAGCATAATTTCTAAACATGTCTTGTACAGATTCTCTCATTTTTCGCTCCTTGATACACTGAGCATAAGGTCAACATTTCCAAGATATCAAGTATTTTCTCCAAGAATTCAGTGAAGCAACAATTGTTTGACAGAAAAACAGGAAGAGGTGGGCAGTGATAGGAAAAGAAATTAAAAATAAACGTCAATTCATACCAGAATATGAACGTGAGTAGTTGGTTATCGTTGTTGACTTTAAAAACGAAAAAAATCGTAGCAGGAATGTAGAAAATAGAACTAGTAGCAATAGAATGAACATGGAAGTGTATCTTAAAAGCAAGATTAACAGCCGTAGTCAATAATCTTTAAGTCTTCTTTAAAGAGGAAAAAACCCATCTTTGCCAAAAAAAAAAAAAAAAATGAAATAAAACAACTAATTTTAAACGCTGTACTAATGTTGCACAAATACTTGCTTTTCACTATTTAAAAAAAAAAAAAAAAAAAAAAAACTTGGAACTATTTTTTGGCGGACTTATATCTCAGTTCATTGCTGAGCCAAACGGATACCAAACCCCTTGCTGTTTATGGCTACTTCGCCAAAGTATATTTACAATGTTAATGGTTCACAATGGAAGGTGAATGTTTAATGAACTTCTCCTTTCAATACCTCTCTTGAAAAATGCTGACATTGATTAACTCCCTTGATTACTTTTTAACATTTTCTCTTTTTCTGATTTTTTTTTTTTTTGCTTTCGTTTTGAGTGAGTCTATTTTCAAAGTGTTTTTGTTTTGTCATTTTTTTTATGTCGATACCGGGGCAGATGTATCTGTGTAACTCTGCGTTACTGGGCAAAAGTTCAACTGACCTTACCGAGTGGATTTAAAGTATTTCCATTGGACGAATATTATTGATTTTCTTTTGCGCTTATCTCCTTATTTTATATTCACTTTCACTTTCACTTTCACTTTCAATTTCATTTTTAAATATCTTTTTTTTTTTTGTTATTGATTTAACACATTTTATTTGTCCTTGATAGAAATAATGTTATTTTTCCTTAAAGGCAACTAGGATAGAGACTTCTTGCGAAAATAAGCTATAGCTTATAATGATTTAGTCTGGTTGACGACACTGAAAATGGCACAAGTATGAAATGTTTTATTTTAAACAAGAAAGAGAAACAAATCGGGTTCTCTTTGGCAATAGAGATAGAATTTTACACGAGAAAAGAGATATCGATTTACTTACGGAAAACAAAAATGCTCCATATTGAGAAAGAAAAGAAGGTCATATCGGCTTTTTTAATGGAGATAGAGATCTGGTTTTAACTTTACAGGGAGAGAGAAACATATATTTATTCACAGTGGGAAGAAGGAAAATATTACCTTGTACAAAAAGAAAAGTGACATGTCGAAATCTCTATCGGAAAGATTTTCATTTTACAAGAGAAAAGAGAGACATATCTGTTTCTCTATGGGAAAAGAGAGACATATACAGATTACCTTACAGAATTAGAAAGAGAGACATATCGGTATCTCTACGGGAAAGGAAATATAAAGATGTCTCCTTACACAGCTGGAGAGAGAGAGAGGCATATCGGTTTTTCTATCGGAAGACAGAGATAAAGTTTCCTTACAATCAGAAAGAGAGACATATATGTTTTTCTATGAAAAAAACAGAAATAAACCTGCCTCCTTCCACTATTGGAAAGAGAGCCAGATCTGTTAATCTATGAGAAAAGAGATATAAAGACATTTCCTTACACAAGTGTAAAGAGAGACATACTGGTTTCTCTATGGCAAAAATGAAATAAATATCGGTTTCTCTATGGGAAAAGAGAGATAAAGATGTTTCCGTAAACAAGAGTAAAGACAGACATAGAGAGAGACATATATGTTTCTCTATGTGAAGACAGAGATAGAGGCTTCCTTACACAATTGTAATGAGACATATAGGTTTATATATAGAGGAAAGATTGATAATAATGTTTTCTTATACAACTGGGAAGAGAGACATATCGATTTCTCTATGAAAAAATAAAAATAAAGATGTCTCCTTACATAACTAGAGAGGGAGACATATCTGTTTTTCTAACGGAAGGCATAGATAAACATGTTCCCTTGCTCAAATGGAAAGAGATACATATCTGTTTCACTATGGGAGAAGAGGCATAAACATGTATACTTACATAAATTGAAAAAAAAAGACATATCGGTTTCTCTCTCTGGGAAAAAAAAGATAAAATGTCTCCTTACACAACTGGAGAGAGAGACATATCGGTTTTTTTTATGGAAAAACGGAGATAAAGATCTTTTCTTACACAATCAGAAGGAGAGACACATCTGTTTCTGTATGGGAAAACAGAAATAAACCTGCCTCCTTCCACTATGGGAAAGAGAGACATATATGTTAATCTATGGGGAAAAAAGAGATAAATATGTTTCCTAAAACAATTGTAAAGAGAGACATATTGGTTTCTCTGTGGCAAAAACAAAATAAATATTTTTCCTTAAACAAGTGTAAAGAGAGACATATCGGTTTCTCTGTGGGAAAAGATGGATAAAAATTTGTACTTACACACGTGTAAAGAGCGACATATCGATTTCTCGATAGGAAAATGGACGTTAACTTACACAACTCTATAGAGACATATCGGTTTCTCTATGGGAAATGAGAGATAAAGATGTTTCCGTAAACAAGTGTAAAGAGACTTATAGAGAGACATATATGTTTCTCTATGTGAACACAGAGATAGATGTTTCTTTACACAATTGTAGAGAGAGATATAGGCTTATTTATGGGGAAAGACTGATAATAATGTTTCATTATACAAATGGGAAGAGAGACATATTGATTTCTCTATGAGAAAAGAAAAATAAACATATCTCCTTACATAACAGGAGAGAGAGACATTTCGCTTTTTCTATGGGAACAAAGAGACAAAGATGATTACTTACACAATTAAACAGAGAGACATATTAATTTCCCTATGGGAAAACAAAGATAAAAATGTTTCCTTAAACAAGTGTAAACAGAAACACATCGTTTTCTCTGTGGGAAAGAGAGATAAAATGTTTTCTTTACACAGTTATAAAGAGAGACGTAACGATGCTTACTTACACGAGTGTAGAGAGGCACATCGGTCTCTCTATGGGAAAGAGAGAGGTACTGTTTTCTTTACAAAAGTATAAAGAGAGACATATCTCTTTCTCTGTGAGAAAAGAGAGATAACGATGTTTCCTTAAACGAGTGTAGAGAGATAACATCGATTTTTCTATGGGAAAGAGAGATAAACTGTTTTCTTTACAAAAGTATAAAGAGAGACATACCTCTTTCTCCATGAGAAAAGAGAGATAACGATGCTTTCTTACACGAGTGAAGAGAGAAACATCGGTTTTTCTATCGGAAGGAGGGATAAAATGTTTTCTTTACACAAGTATAAAGAGAGACATATCTCTTTCTCTATGAGAAAAGAGAGATAATGATGTTTTCTTACACGAGTTTAGAGAGACACATCGGTTTCTCTATGGGAAAGAGAGATAAAATGTTTACAGAATTATAAAGAGAGACATATTTCTCTATGAGAAAAGAGAGATAACGATGTTTCATTACACGAGTGAAGAGAGAAACATCGGTTTTTCTATCGGAAGGAGGGATAAAATGTTTTCTTTACACAAGTATAAAGAGAGACATATCTCTTTCTCTATGAGAAAAGAGAGATAATGATGTTTTCTTACACGAGTTTAGAGAGACACATCGGTTTCTCTATGGGAAAGAGAGATAAAATGTTTTCTTTGCAAAAGTATAAAGAGAGACATATCTCTTTTTCTATGAGAAAAGAGAGACGAATATGTTTCAGTAGACAAGTCTAAAGAGAGACATATCAATTTCTTTATGGGAAAGTAGATATAAATATGTTTCCTTACACAAATATAAAGAGAGATATCTGTTTATCTTTGGGAAAACAGATAGGATAATTAAAACGTTTCGGCCGTTGTTCTTTGCGAACTGAAACCTTTTTTTGATCTACGGAGGCAGACTGTTCTTGTTCTACTAGTCTAGTTCTTATTTATAGTACTTCTCAGTTATTGCTCACCCGGTTAACTGAATCCATGCACATACTGGCCAAACCAGGACTTGAACTCAAAACCACTATGACGAAATACATCTGCGGCAGGCCTGACAGAACAGCGGTCGATCGTTGTGATTTTCATCTCTGTTTTCCCATAGACAAATCGATATGTCTTTCATTAATCTTGTGTCAGGAAACATCTTTAGATGGATCACCGCCTGTGAATACTAGGTGCTAGAAGCTTAGATGTACGGGTAGTTTAATGGATAATGGCTTGGAATTGTTAATCGGAGAGCCGAGTTCTAATTCCAGTTGGGTTCGTTATATTCAATTACGCGCAAATACACTTAGCTAAGTCATGAATCCACGTCTTCTTTAACCAACTATCCCTGCTATGAATACCTATGTCAGTGTTTCGCAAACTTTTTTTTCTCTAGGTCGCATTTCGGAATGAAAATTTGCTCGCACTTCACCAAAAGGAAGTCCCGGTGAAAAGGTAGCACTACTTCAAAGAAGGTCCAGAGAGTGGGTTAAAAGGAGATCACCGCAGATTCGAAGTAAGAATATTATTATTGATAACTCTCTCCTCCAATTTATAGACCCTAGTTAGTATATTCTTAATGATATAATGCAAAAGTATCACAATGATAAAATCTGTCAATAATTATTTAAAACTATTTATACTCAGACCCATGCATACAATTACAAGTAATCCATAATAATATTTGAAATTTTGAAATCATATTTCTTTTTCAAAACTGTTTCTAAATCTCAGCCTCACCTGCTATGCCCTTCCGGCTCACCACTGACCTATGTGATCGATTTAGTCCTTCTTATCGCCAGTATTTTGGCCTAGGGATGGAAAACAATTATTCTATTTGATGATTCGTTTGGGTTTTGGTATAGTGCCATTCTCTTCGTATAAATTACTAACTAACGGTTGATTCGTAATATAATCTACATCTAGAAATATCAATCTAATAAATCTCCCAATGTCTTTTCTTTTATTCTTTTTTTACAATGATTTTCACATTGTAAAAAGCGCGAAAGCCACTCGAGATAGAGTGTTTCAGAGTAAACGACATAGTTTATGTGGATATGTGGGAAAGATAACAGTTAACTCTAGACTTGAACAGGTTAAGATTGTAGTAATCGGGGAAGCATCCACCTGGGAGTCGGTTCCACAATGCAGCGGTTTGTGTGTTGGGGGTGGGGCTGCTCTCATGAACAAAATAAGAAGGAAATGAGTGTGATTACCTTTAATGTGCGTAGTATGGCGGGTCTTAACCGTCAAGGTTAAAACTGGTGGAATGAAGGAATTTAGTCCGTTTAAGCACTGAAGCTATTATCTGCAAAATAATTCTTCCAATCTAAAATAATTTTCTGGCTTTAAATAACCTGCAAATATAATAAACCGTAGAAAATGAATAAATCTTTTAGTAAATTAATATCGGGTTTTATTTCTAAGTTACTATTTTTCAACAACGATGTAATCATCGCTTACAGTTAATGCAGTGTTTCTATTCTTATTTCTAATCTAAACACGAAGCAAATGAAAGCTTTCCTTATTCCTTTCTAAGGATTAATCCACACGTAAATATGGATGTTATTGACATGCACGGCCTTAAGGATACGCGTAAACGAATGAAAAATACTTGAATGTTCGCGAAACATATCTGTAGAGAGAAAGAAATGAAACATGTCTGATTGAAGCGTGCAGATCATTGACGTAGATATTTCGACAACTATTAGTTAGAGACGAACACACACGCGCAGGCGCATGCACGCGCATGCGCACACGCGCGCATGCTCAAATATATACAATTAAAAGTATCTCCATTTCTTGTTTAGAATTTGGGAAATTTGATTCGTTGTTAAGCATTAAAATTCCGTTTTATACACTCAGGCAAAGAAAAATAAAAAAATAAAAAAAAAAAACGCTTCGTTTTCAATAGGTTTCTTGAGAAATAAAAGGCAGCCGTATTTAAAATTGAAGGCGAAAAAAGCTCATCATGGAGTTGTCTAATGAATAAATAACAGGCTGAAACGAGACGAGGAGATGGAATTGTCGTTAATTAGCCATCATCACGAAAGCCACTTGACTCCTGGAGATTATTGTTTTTTGTTTTTAATATTTTTAAGACATGATTTGATGAGGTGAATTGGATTCCGCCATTAGCGAATGACAACAATCATGAAACTGACGAATCATTTATCCTAATATTATATTAGTTTAATGCGGCTTATTTCATATTATTATTATTATTATTATTGTCATCATCATCATCATTCGATTTCTGCTATGGACACACTACCTACTAAAGACCTAAGGCAGGTCGTGTGTGTTGTTATGGCCACATTTCATTTTTTTTTTTTTTTTTTTTTCTCCGATGAAGTTGCTAGCGTTACATAGACAAAGTTCTCCTTAGTGTGTGTGCTGTACTTAATAAGACAATTTTCTGTATGTCTCTTAAGCTGGGGTTTCAGGGATTCTTTCAATGTGTTGTTTTGTTCCATTTTTTTATAATTCCAAGTGCACCTATTACCACTGGTATTATTCTTGTTTTCAATTTCCACATTTTTTCTTATTTCAATTTCAGGTCTTTGTATTTTGATAGTTTTTCAAATTCCTTGGTTGCTATGTTACAATCCGCTGGACAAGCCATATCAATAGTAGAATACAATGATGTCCGGCCTATTTGTTCAATTTTTTCTGTCTGTGTGGATGGTATAATCCCATAGAATGGTGACATCTTCTATTTCTGTAACCGGCGCTGGCCGATGTTCATACCAGTTTTGCTTACACATTTTCCAAAGTGTTTGCACATTGTCCAGTGTAAGTATTGCCCCACTTTATCGTGACGATTTTTAGAAGTATAGAACATCCTGAGATTAGATGGTCTATTGTTTCTTGGTATTTGTCACAGAACCTGCATTTTGGATCCACATTATTATGTATGATATTTGCCTGAAAATTCTAGTGAAAAGACTCTGGTCTTGCGCTGCAAGAATAAAGCCTTCAGTTTCAGACTTTAATCCAGATGCTCGTAACCATCGATGAGTATTAACTTTATCAACACTGGGTTTATTTGCACGTTCTGGATATTGGCCATATTATTATTATTATTATTATTATTATTATTATTACTACTACTACTACTACTAGTAGTAGTAGTAATAATAATAACCGTGAAACCTTATGACCGAAGTTAAACATCGTCGATTTTGGTTAGAATAGAGATGGGTGACCGCTTGGGAATAGAAGGTGCTGTAAGATTTAAGCGACTGGTAGATAATGGCTTTGATATCCAAGAATAATTCTTATAATCTAAAAGAAATAAAACATGGTGGATAAGCCGTCGCAAACGAATCAATGAAATATTTATTTTTTTGCTATCTGTTACAGTTTTACAGGCACATTACATTGAAACACCGTATGATCAACACAATTAATTTGAGCCTGGTCAATACCTTGATGGGTGACCTTTTGAGAATATCAAATGCAGTAATCTTGGATGTGCGGGTGATGGAATGGATAATGGTCTTGAATTGTTAATCAATGAATGGATTTCCAAGTCCATATGTGTTTGTTTTATTTACTTAAGCGCAAAAACTCTTAGGAAAGGTATGAATCCATCATGTCTTTTCTCAGTTATCCCAGCCATGAATACTTGTATCATCGGTAAATTCCTTTAGACGAATTTTTTTCATTTGACCATATGAATATACAATAGCGTTTCTAAATTATTCTAGTTGCTTACGACATTTTCTTTTTTGTTTATCGATACTTTGTTTCAATAAATTAATATCGTTCTTTTTTTTTTGCTTTGAAAAGTACACAGTAGAGGAAAAAGTAGACGAAACGCGTCGGTTAAAACTACAGTTTTCGTATTGTGTTTTTCCTTTATACATTCATACACACACATACACACACACACACACACACACACACACACACACATATATATATATATAGCCTGACGATTCTGTTCAGCATGAAACAGAATGTCGTCTCTGGGTGCTGGCAACAATGAACAATGTTCCCTTTCTGTTTACATAGGCTGGTATTGAGCACTTAAATACATAAATATAGCATAACGTAAACTATATACACATTCATATATATATATATATATATATATATATATATATATATATATATATATATATATATAAAAATTTCTCAAAATTAACCTTTAGAAAAGGAGCAATATGTCCAAAGGAATAAAGACAATAGGGAAATTGTATCATTAGCCGACGCATTTCGTCCAATGTGAACTTTTACAAGACCAAAAACGAAATGAATTTACTGAAACAAAGGATCTATAAATAACAAACAAAATGTACACAACAAAGATATCAAGAAAATTATTGAATCCGTCAACATAAGAATACAAACATTAATTTTACATGTGAAAATATTCTCTTCAAACATAAAGCAATGGACGTAATATACAGTTGAGAATATGAATATACAATGGCGTTTCTAAATTCTTCTCGTTACTGCCGACATTATCATTGCTGTTTATAGATACTTAGTTTCAACAAATTAATATCATTTTTTTTTTGCTTTGAAAAGTCCACATTAGACGAAACCCGTCGGCTAATACTAGAGTTTTCCTATATATATATATATATATATATATATATATATATATATATATATATATATATATATATATATATATATAATTATGAATCATTCATACAAAAAACAAATATAGAGGTTAATGATTTAAATGGCTCCTCTTATTACTGAGAAGTAAAAACAAGAACAAATCTATTTCCATACATGAGGATGTTTGTAGGAACAGACGAAAGCTTGTAAAAACTAAAAAGACCTTATGAAACTGGAATTTATAAACAGGGATCATATCATTCATATACAGGTACGGGGTTTGTACCTTATTGTTTGATGTATTCTCGCCATTTAAATCATTAACCTCTATATTTGTTTTTGTATGAATGATTCATGTAATTATAAATTGAACTGCACCTATAATCGAAATATATATATATATATATATATATATATATATATATATAGAGAGAGAGAGAGAGAGAGAGAGAGACAAATGCGTATGTATAGACATAACAGCACCCGTATACATGTGTCATAGCCGAAACTGCCTACATACGTTTATATATGTATGAGTCCCGACGGACGACCAAGTATGTATATGTGTCTGCATATATCGATGTTTGCGTTAGTACGATGAATGACAAAACGACGAAATTTCCCCCACCACTTCCACAATAGCACCAATACACACAATCTACATAAACCCAAATTCTTTAAAACATTAATCAGTTTGTCTGACGATCGCTAAAGCGTGAAACCCAAGGTCACAAACTCACATCTATCCAACCAAATATGTTAGCTCTATATTGAGCGCTTTCTAATAAGTACCGCGCATATAATATATAAATAATTATATATATATATATATATATATATATATATATATATATTTATATACACTTTTCATATATATATATATATATATATATATATATATATATATATATATATATATATATATATATGAAACATTTCTCATTTAACCTGTAGAAAATGACAATATGTACAAAGGAAAGACTGCAGTTTTAGCCGACGCGTTTCGTCCAATGTGAATTTTTAAAAGCAAAAACCGAAATGAATTAATTGTTCATGGCTCTCCACCTCCCTCTATCCCTTGCAGCTCCCAATAAGTTCCTTCCCTCTGCTTCCTCCCCCAGACCACGTTCTGTCACCCACTTGCCAGGTATGTCACGCGTTGTTTTGCCTTGTCTCTCTTTCCGTCTGTTCGACCATTGAGTATCATATTCTCCAGGCCTTCCTTCCCCATTATGTGTTCCAGAAACTTTAGTTGCTTCTTCCTGATGTTAAGTATAATCCTCATCCTTGTTTGCATCCTGTCTAAGGCCTCTTCGTTATTCAAACGCTCGGTACATGAAAACCTTAGTATCCTTTTGTAGTACCACATCTCTGGCGACTCAAGTCACTTCTTCATCTTTGAGGAATTCGCCCAACATTCGTTGCCGTAAAAAAAGGACAGATGTCACCTAACAGCTCAGTATTCTTTTCTTTGTTACCAAAGAAATCCTCCTGTCTCGCAATACTCTGTCCAGCTTTTGGAATGCGTCCTTGGCCATCCCAATACGTCTACGGATCTCAATGTCGCACTTACCGTCCACTGTTAAGACGCTTCATAGATATTTAAATTTCTGCGTCTGCTTGATTCTAGTGTTCACGAGCTGAAAATCTCATTTCGGGCTCATCTGATGACCATGCAATGAAGTTTACGTTTAATAAAATATATATTTACTGAAAACACTTTTCCTGCTCCACTTTTTTCTTTTCTGTTTTCGTTCGGCCTGGTAAAACGTATATTTCCTTCACTCTGACTGATTTTCATTTTCTGTTTGTATAAAAAATATGGTTAAAAATAATGAATCATTTTCAAGACTTACATGAGCTAAAGAAATTCACGGATTTGAACGAAAAAAAAAAAAACAAAAAACAAAACAAAACAGAATGACTTCAAAATCCGCGAAATTTTTTAAAACTTTTAATAGTCAGTGATGCTTAGTTTAATTCGTAACGTATATACATTTAGGTAGAATAAGTCAAATGTTGACAAGATAGCGAGAGTCACAAAGAATTGTCAGGGTCCCCATCAGGATTGCAATTATCCGGT